TTGAAGTTTTCATTTTTATAAACGCTGAGTGTTTTATTTTGTAGGAAATGTGACTACATTTACTATAATATAATTTCCTAAAGATACTTTCTGAAAGACAACCAAATCTTCAATGTAAAAAATAGTCTTGTAGTGGACGTTTTATAATGCTTTTCTTTAAACAAAATCAATCTAAAAGGAAACAAACAAACAACAACAACAAAAAAAAAACAGCTTTTTTTTCAACCTGAACAAAGTGTTTAGGAACCACAGGAAATAGTTCTCTGGTGTAAAAACACATGTAGGTGCTCAGGTCTCTGCTATGAATGGAATAAGACCTCCTGCCCCATATTGCCGAGCCCCACAGCCAGTGGTGGCACCCATCCTTCATTTCCTTAGGGTGTGGCACTGGGCAGGTGGCTGCTTTGCACGTTTTAGAAATCTATCAACATAATACTAAGAAGAAATCACAAAGGAAAAAGATTGATGGGTCCAAATACACAAATACTTAAAACTATAATATTAAATGAAAAGGTATATAAAAATTAGAATATTTTCAACAGAATATCTCAACACAGAGGGATCTTTTACAAATCAACTACACACACAGACACACACAAAGTGAATAATGATCACCAAACCTATGTAAAAAAAAGAGGGGTCACTCTCTCCAAATGACATTTTTCATTCCGCATGTAAGTAAAGATTTAAAACCACAAATGGTATTGGGGAAAATACAGAGCATACTTTTGGTAGTAATAAGTATGGGTGCAACCTTTGGGGAAAGTAATTTGACTACGTATACCAAAACTCCTATAAATGTCGAGTTCCTTAAGCCCCCAGTTCTAATTCCAGGTGTTTATCCTCATCCAATCATTACACAGGTGTCTATGAGAATTTTTATTGCAGGGATTTCGATACACATATAGATAGAAAAACATACCAAAATATTAACTCTGATAAAACATTACCCCTACCGATAAAACCATTAAAAATCACTAGCTTTTTTTCTATTATTCATTATACTTACATGTCTAAAGTTTCTATGACAAACGCCTATTTTCTTTTAAATAATTTGTCTTGTTTTTATTTTGTTCTTTGGAAAAAAGAAACTTTGAAAGCACAGAGATGGTGATTGGAAAGCTGAGATACCTATCCAGACTCCAATTTTATTTTAATCCATTCAATGAGGCAGATTAAATGTGAAAAAAACCAAAATGGTCCGCTCCCTTATGCAGTGAAACTCTTGCTTATTTTCTAGTTACTTCTACCTGCACAGAGAATTGTTCAAGGAAGATGTTTACAACCCCATACATATTTTTGAGAGTTTTGGCCATGAAGTCACAATTGTCCACACCCGCACGATGATTTTTTAATTAATGAGACCATACACTTGGTCAAAATATCTTTGTTTGGAAATGCAAGACACAGCAGGTAGTAGAAGAGAAACAGACCCCAACTTTCCCATGAGTTCTCAAAGTAAGAAAGCATCCGTTCCCCTGCATCGGCTTCTGGTGACACACTGGAAAACGGCGCCTACACACAAAATCCCGAACGTGACTGTGGACTGTCAGGTAGCCAGACGGGCAGGTGTAGGGGCTGAAAGGGCTGTGTGCCACAGCAGTAAAATATCTGCAACAATCACACATTTACAATCAGTGTGCCGGTGCTTCCAACCCAGGCCGAGGGGTCTGTTTTTCCCATATTAGGCAATGGCAAGGATTTCAAATGGACCGAACACTAATGCTGCTTCAGCTGGCAGAGGAGAGGGAAACCAAGAGTCCCTGCGTTATTTATTCCAGAGAAACTATCTGCGAACCATCTGTCCACAGTGTCACCACCAGTGCCACCCCATGTGGACCTTTCTATGCTATATCCTTGCCCCACTTCTGTGAGCCCCTCCCCTAGTCTTGGCCCCCAAATCGGAAGTCCCAGCCTTCCCCTGAATAGAGAGATAAGTTTATTTCAACAGAGCGACTGGTAACACAAAAGATCTCTTAATGCTGCAAAGTATTATTAGTTGTCCAGCTGCAAAAATCACTCCTAAAACCTTCATTTTAAGACTGAATGCAATGTTTCCCTTATATAACATGATGCAGGGGCAGGGGTGGGGGTGGATGGGTGGAGCATAAAGCATGGGAAAACCAATACTTTTGCATTGTAGGGCCTAAAAAATGGTTGAAAGTTGAAAGAGTAGAATTAAAAACCTATTAAGTTAGCAATAGCAAATAGGTTACATACAGCAAAGACAAATTTTCAAAATATCTACAAAGCACATGTAGTGTCTACGTTTGCATCTAGTTAATTTTTGGAGAAACGGCCTTTTAGAAAATAAATGGTCCCATTCTGAAAAACAGAGGGACAGAATTAGTAAGTAAAACAAGGCCAAAGACAGATCCTATAGTGAGTGTAGTTTTATATTTGATCTATATGTGCTGTAAAGGAAAATATAAAAATGAGACCCCTCAAGAGAGAAAAACTCAAGAGCTCTTCATTAAAAATAAAAGCAAACCAGTTATGCAAAGGTAGTTCAAAATTTATTTATAAATTTGTTTAAAAGAATATAAAATATTTCTTTTTCTTCTGCTCACATTTGTACACTGGATTAAGAAAGTCGGGATTAAAATCTAAAAAGATGCCAAATCTTCCCCAAACCTGATCTGAGAATTAGCTGCTTAGAGAGACAAGCATGCAGCATCCATAGATTTCGCTAATCTGAAAGCATCAAATGATTTCCTTATTTTCTGTCTTACTAACATTGCTGAAATTATACTGCCGATAAGAGGCAAATGCAATCAGAAAAAAATACTGTAACGCATCACTGGTGGTAAAGGTTAAATACGAGTTTGGTAATCAGCTCGTACAAACATGCGTAACCCGTGACAGGGAGAAACCTGTCACTCTCGGGGGCTCAGCTGAGTGGGTGAGCAACTGAAGTCCAGGTAAAAGCAGCGAGGATGAGCGAAACCACATTAGAAAAAAAAGCATCTCATGAAGGTTTTCAAGGTCAGTTGATAAAGGCCAGATGTAAGTAAATATTTCTCACATATCCTGGAAGACAAGGAAAACAAAATTACTACAAGCAGCAAAACAAAATTCAAAGCCTTTGTAAGTTCGCAATAAAGTTCCTTCAAAGAACACTCTTACTACACCAGGCCTAGGTGACTCTTTGTTAATGATTTAAAGTCCCAATGAAATGACTTTCAAGTCCCATTGCATTTGATTCGCAAAATAGTCTGTCAACAATAAAATGGCATGTTGAGTGATGTCGTGGGTTGTGTTCTTGGAGATAGGCTAACATGGGTCACAAATAATAATGTTCTTAAATGCTGTCACCTGCCTCCATAGTTACAGCAAGGACAGGACTCACACGGTGTGGAGCAGAGCAATTTAAATGGAAATGCATGGAGTCTAGTTGTATTGTGCTAGGCAGCAGGAAGGTGGCTTCTCGGGGGGCCTTGAGGAAGGGAGATAGACTGAATGAGTCCCCTCCCTCACCACCATTTGCAAAAGCCAAGAAATCTCCAGCAAGCCTCCCAGAATGCTGGGCCGAGTGACCCTTGGGATTCAGACTGTCGCTGTTCTCTCTAACACTCTGGAAATCTAAAATCTCAGCTCATGGCGAACACTTAACTGCCCTTGAAGACAGAGGATTTAGTTTCCTAGTATTCCAAACGGTCTCACCTGCTGCTATCACGGAAAAGACCATTTGAAGTGACTCTCAATGTCCCACCTAGGTGCATCGTGAAAACTAATAGAGGACTCTAGAAAACTAAAATGCGTACAAAGCAATTTTCAATTATCAAATAATAAATATATATTAAGTAATATGAGAAGAACGTGATTTAAATTTTAAAAGGTTTAAAAATAAAGATCGATCTAATTTGTCTACCCAACACATATTATTTATCAGAAGCCTACTGCTTAAGTGTCTATATGATGTTTGAAGAAATAACTTCTTCCTTTGGCTTTCATCGTAGTTTTATCGTCTTTTTTGCCTCTTCTTTTCCTTTCTTCTTTGATTTTTCACTGGTTCCAATACTTCCTCTGAGCTCTACCTATGACTTAGGAATATCTCTCCTCTCTCATTCCTTGGTAGAGTTCAATCTCATCTATCAACTTCTAAATAAATGATACGTTTTTAATATTTCCTATATTATTAACCTTTCGTTAACTTTTTTTTTATTTACAAGACAAATTCAAGATAAAAGTTTATGGCTTCTTTTCTTCCTTTTGTATGGTGTCCTTTGATGAACAGATGTTTTATTTTAATGTATAGTTGTCATTTCTTCTTGGTATTTAGTTTGGTCTTATGAAATCCTTCCTAGCTCAATTTTACAAATTAGTCTAGTTTCTTCTGAAATTTAAAAGGTCTTTTTTTTTTTATTTAAAAGCTTTAAACTACCTGGAACTGATTTTTATGCATGGTATTGGGAAGGGACATAATTTCACATGGGTATTCAACCAGATTTGTTGAAGAATTCATTTTCCCCCGAGTTGTACTCCGTCTTCTGTCACACATGAAAATTGCAGAAATGGTTGAGTCTGCCCGTGCTGATTCCATATCATATTAAGTGTTTAATTAAGTCCCCATATATACTGCTTTATCTTTAGGCGTGAACTGGGTATTCTCAGTTCTTTGCTTTGATTAGAACTTAAATAAATCCATGGACGATTAGAGAGCTCATTCCTATCCATTAACAAGGTATAACTCTACATTTACCTATTCCTTACTGTCTTTCAATAAAATTTTATATATTTAAGAAAAAGGTTTTATATATCTTTGATTGTTTTGTTTATTTCCAATGTGTAGAAACAAAGTTAGTTTTTATATACTGATCTTATATCTACCAAAATTGCTGGGCTCGTATTTATTCTAATAATTTGAATATAAATTATTTTGTATATTCTAGGTAGATAATTGACTCATCTGTGATTTATAAACATTTTCTTTTTCATACCTTAAATCTGATTTAAAGGAAATGTTTTTGATGTATTTTGATTATAGATTTTTGATGCCTTTTTTTAGCTAAAGAAATTTCTGTCCTATTCCTAGTTTGCTAAAAGTTTTTACCATAAATAAGTATTGAAATTTATCAAATGCTTTCTCTGTACCTATTGAGATGATCATATGGTGTTTGTCCTATAATTTATGAGGTGAATTATCTCAGTTTTTTTGTTTTATTTTGTTTGTTTATTCATTTATGATAAGCCAACCTTACACTTTGAGATAAATTCAATTTAATAAGGACATACTGTGCCTTTTAAAAATTTATTACTGAATCTATCAAAATTGTGTTAATTTAAAAAAAAAAAAATGAGAGTTTATTTGAGCCTAACTGATGACATATGCCAGAGAGCAAGATCTCGAGAGCTTCCGAGAACAATAGTTTTGCAGCTTCTTTCGAAAATTGTGTGCATTTTTTTGAATCTGTGTTTATGAGTGAGATTGGTCTTTTATTTCCTGGGTAGTCTTTGCCCGATTTTGATTGAAAGTTACATTCAGCTGTTTAATACTTTTGAGGAATGCTTCTTCCTTTTCATTTATCTGAAGAACCTTTCCAGACATTTGGAAAAATCTGATCCTAGAACATTTAGTAGAACTTTTCCATACTACGTCTAGGGCTGGTTTTTATTTTATGGGGAGACAATAACAAATTAATCTAACATAGCATTTGCATCATTTTGAATTCCCAGCAACAATGTGTGAAAAAACAAGTTTCTCTAGAGCCTTACCAACTCAGTATATTGTAAATCTTTTGTTTTCTGGAATTTTTGGCCAAGTAATAAATGAGAGATGATATTTTGGTTTAGTCTTTAATTTGTATTCCTTTTATTATGATAAATTCATTGAGTGCTTTAATTTCAATGATTATGATTTTTTATTTCTAAAAGTTTTTTTTTTTCCCCCACATCTTCTTGGTTGTCTTCGTCTCTTGTTTTTGTTCATGGTTTTAAATCCAGTATTTATTTTAACAGGTGTTTTATGCATAGCTATTTTAAAATTCGGTATCTAGTCACTACTACATCACATCATTCAGTTCTAAATCTTTGTCGTTTTGGTGAACCTCAATCACAGCCACCTGTTTCCTTGTCCTTGTAATAAGTTCCAGTCACTGTTTTATGCTTGGAATGTACCAGCGAACAAAATAACCAAAGGGCCCTGCTCTGATGGAATATGGAACATAAATTACCACAAGGAGAGACTAAGAGTAAATAGTCAACAAAACATATAAATAAACGATGTCAGAAAAATTATGTTAGAGGTTGCAGGGTGCGATGGAAAAAAAAAAAAGTGGAACCCGAAAAGAAGATGGCAAGAAACAGGTGGCAGTATTAAATAAATGGCCGAGGGACCCTCACTGAAGTAGAAGCCAAGAAAATACTCGAAGGGGAGCAAATCATATGGATTTTGCAGAAGAGTGTAGAGGGAGCAGCCGGTGCGAAGGCCCTAAGGTTCCTCACGTTTGCAAAGACCAGCAAGAAAGCAAGCGTGGCTGGGGAAGCAGGGCTGTCGGAGGAGAGCGTCGGGGCAGAGCGGAGTCCAGATCGCGCAGCACCTGGTCAGCTACTGCGAAGACTTTGTCTTTTCCCCCAAGTGATTTGGGAGCCGTTGCGGGGTTTTGAGCAGAATGGTGACAGGATCTGACTACTGTTTCAAAGGCATCACTCTCGTACGGAGAACAGACTCCAGACGGGGGAGTCGGGGAACAATGAGACCACTTGGGAGGCTATTTCAAGAATCTAGATGAGCACTGATAGAGGCTGGGAACAAGACAATAATGGCGAAGCTCATGAGAAGATTCTGGACTGGATATATTTGGAAGGAAGAGTCACGAGTAGCTCCTGATGGGTCAGCTGTGGGGGATGCGAGAGATGAGCTGTGTCATTACGCAAACGGGAAAAAGTGCCGATAGGACACGGGGGCGAAGGAATTAAAGTTTAAGTTTTAGACATGCCGAGGTTGAGATATCTATAAGCTATACAAGTTAGAAATGTTAAGCAGACGAATGGGTATGCAAGCCTCTGGCTCGGAGGAAGAGGTAGGTGTAGGCTAGAAATAGACATTCAGGGGTAATAAGCATATATACAGTTTTTAACTGCATGAGCGTGAATGAGGTCGCCGAGGTATCAAGTGAACACAAAGGATGGAAGGTGGTCCAAGGCGGATCCCCGATGCACTGCAATGTGGAGAGGATGAAAAGATGCAGGAGACTCAGCCAAGAAGAATGAAAAGGCGTAACCACTAAAATAGGCGGAAACCCGGGAAAGGGCCGTGTCCCAGAAGCCAAGTAAAGCAACAGTTTTATCACCGACGACAAACGACGCTGACAGGTCACAAAACAAAGGCTGAGAAACAGCCGTTGGATCTTGCAATGTGGACGTTGTTTGTGACCACGACGAGAACATTTCTGTTAGGCTGGTAAAGCCTGAAACCCAATGAGAGTGGGTTTAAGAGAAATGGGAGGAAAGACGTCAGAGACAGCAAGGACAGACACGCCTTAAAGTTTTGCTCTAAAAGGTGGACAACAACAACAACAACAACAAACAGCGAGAGGGAAAGGTGGTAACAATGTAATGTTTACTTATTAATATTTTACGCTGATGGGAATTTTCTAATTGAGATGAACATCTGGCCATTCAGAACGGGGGAGTCTTGTGAGAATGGAGTCCCCCAGTCGGTGGAGGAGACAGAAACTGGTCC